AATTACACAAAAATATCTTGAAATACTAAAGAGTAAATTTATTCAATAAAAACGCCATTGGCTTCAACCATGGCCTCCAGATGACTTTGCAATCTCCTGCAACTCTTCTGGACAGTGTCCTTGTTTAAGTTGGTTAATGCTGCCATAATCTTTGCCTTCAGTTCATCTTTGGTGCTACAAGGAGTTTTGTTGGTCTCTCACTCAACTGCACTCCACACATAATAAGCAAGGGGGTTGCAGTCTGGGAAGTTAGGTGGCCAGATATAAGGAGTAATGCGGTCACAGAAATTGTCTGATAGCCATGACTGTTCTCTTGCTTGTGTGGGATAGTGCAGAGTCTTGTTGTCAGATATAGGTTCTTCCAGCATCCACCCTCTTGACCCAGGACAGTACTACCTCCTGAAGCAACTTGATGTAGGCCTTAGTGTTGATTCTACCCTCACCAACAAATTCAGGAGTTCTTTTCTTATCAGAATGACCAGAGTGAATTTTTTGAGCTTCCATTCCTTTAGACTCATCCAACTCTTTCCAAATCCACTGCACTGTCCTCAGATTGACACCCAAACACTCTGAAAAGTTCATATTGGAGCTTCCGGCATGAATGCTAAGCAGTACAACTGACCCTACTATACTATGCAGTTGACAAAATCAAAAATAAACAACATATATGCGCTAAATTAAAAATATAAAATGGTGACAACTTACTTGTCACACTTTGTATTTAGAGCCAACAAACTGACCAGTGATTCTGCTAATGCATTATCTTGTTGACATCCAAGTAATTCTCAATAAACATAGGGAAAGTCAAGTGGTGGTGGAGCTTCTGGGATTGAGTGCCATGAGAAGCCATTCATGGTCATATCATAACTACTGCCTGTAGTGACATTGTCAATTTCCAAATGAACAAGGAGACATGTAATGGTCACACATATAATATGCTGAGTAAACAGACAGATAATATTTCTCTTCTCTTCGGTGTTCTACGGTGAATCATTTGCCTATCGCTAATAGAAATCCATCTGGTTTCTTTAAATCTCTACAAGACTTATAAATATCTCAGTGCAATTCCAGCCCTCAATGTAGATACCCTAAACAAACTACTGTTGGAAATTTAATCCTAAATATAGCAGTTTTATTTTTTCAAAGGAAATCCTAAAAACTTCTCTGTGTGTGAATGAGAGAGAGAGATTTTCTTTTTGGCCTAAAGTCCCATTGGGTGATATTTTGACTGGAGCTGAGAGATAATTCAGAACACAGAATTGTTCAATTTCAATCTCCATTCAAATCCACCAGCAAGACGCATATCTTCATTGCTAGTGATCAAAGTTAATGGTGAGGGACCAAAATTTTGGCTGAACAAGATATCACAACTGTCACCGATGACTGTGAAGACTATCTTCAACTAATCACAATTAGTTGTTGTGAAACGATTACACCAGAAAATTCTTCAAACCAATAATTAAGTCCCAATCCAAAAAGAAGAAATATTAAGAAAGAATATGGGTAAAAAAAATCCAGTATCAAAACTTCATCACTAAAAGGAATCATTTAAGATATTCCAGTCATTGGAAGGAATACTTTTACTTGCTAGGAAATTCTATTTATTAATACTTTTGTACAGAATTATTTAATTGATCTCAAACAAAACTGAGACAAGGACTGAGCTTTATACAAACACCAAGCTATCGTGTCTGAAACAATCTGGTGCCAATATTTGATGCAAAACATTAGTTATGCCCAAGTTGAACAGATTAAAAAAAATTGCAAATTTATCCTATGTTACAAATTCATGTGGTGTATCCTTTTTTCCCCAATGCGAATACCAGAGTTTAGAAAAAAATTAATACAATTTTTTTTTTTTAAAGATGTCATAATCCAATTGTTGAATAAACAAAATCTCAAATAAAAAATAAATAAAATGAACAAATTATATACACCTAGTTTATTAGTATTTAACATAAGAAATGCAGTTGGTATGAAGAAAAATTGATCTCTAATTATGGCAAAATCTGACCAGAATTGTCTTTCAAAAGTAAATATCTGCACTAAAAAATAATAAAGTGATGTGAAAAATTCTTCTTCAAATGAAGATACACTGTTCAAAACCTCAAAACTAATTATTTGTCATGTTTTTTATGTATTGGTAACAATTTACTGTTGATGTTTTAAATTCATAGACTTAGGAGGGCAAATTTCATACAAAAGCACTTGTTTATCTTAGATCAATTAATAGTCATACCCTTGAATAATTAACATATTTCCAATGTATTTTCAAAACATTTAACCTCATGATTACCTCCAATCAAAGCAACATTTCAGTTTTCTCCTATCCTTTCTTTGATAGGAATATCAGACCATAATGACTTCAGTATGCAATTTCTATGGGATTCATTCATAATTTACATGCAAGATTGGACAACTGATTTTATTGCTATGACATAACGAAAACTTCATTAATATTTGGCTTATCCAACATTACCATAACACTTAAGAGTTAATTTAAAAAAAAAAAAGACTGTACTTCATACATTTTGCAAAATAACAAATGTACATACATTGTCTTAGGTCCAGGTTACTTTTCATTTACAAAGAACCAGAATCTTTTATTTCAATGAAAACTGTTAAAGAGCATTACCTTTCGGCTTATATTTTCTAAAGTCTTCAATCTTCTGATCAATTTCAGAATAGATAAAGTTACAATTCCAAACCAGCAGAACATTCTAAATTATTGATGCATGCTTCTTGATTACAATTCCAGAAACTATCATTTAACAAAATCTTATGGTTCACCACCCACATATTTATTAGTGTTTAACCATGACCTACTGAAGTCTAATCAGCTAGCTGTTAATTTCAGGGAAAACTAGGACAAAGCCAGGATAATGGTAATGACCATGTTTTTGTAGACTAATTTACAAGCAGAAAATGCATTATGAGTTTGTGATACTTTGTGAGGCAAATTTAACAAGTAACAAAAGAAATGAAAAAAATCTTCAAAAATAATCTTAAACCAAAAATTATTTTTATGTTTAAAAAGATGAAGTTACGATAATTAGACACTGTGCATGTTTTTCAGAAATATTCAAATGACAGTTATAATTATAGCTTAATTACTGTACAGACAGGAAAAATAAGGCCAACATTTGCAAATATGGATTGCAATAAGTAAAAAGAAATATTTACTGCAGAATTATAATTCATTTAGAAAACAATTCATTTAGTTAACAATTTACAGCAAGTATCAATATTAATTTTTTAACAATGTGAAATTGTTTTCAAAGACATTTTATTTGAGGATTCATTAAGACATTTTTTAATGTAAATTTCATTTTTTGATGTACTAAGCAGAGAAAAAAAGGCAAAGAAGAATATGAAAATTTAGAACTGAATTAAAAATTATAATGTTAACATTTTTAATATTTCAAAAGATATATGAAGTTTTGAAAACCTTTTTAAAATTGTTAAAGTGTTTGTAAACTAATATTTCAATTTAATAATTACAGTAATTTTAACTCTCAACATTTTAATATATTATTAATATATCTGGAAATATTATTTATGCATTAATATATTCTTATTATATATATGATTCACAGATAAAAATGTAACCTTGTGTTAAATTAGCCCAAATCAATTTATATATAATTATATTTCTAACAGGGCAATGACTCTGTTTAAATGTTTAATTGCATGAGATTGCAGGACGGTGATTTGGAGAGACTACTAATTGGATAATAATTATTAAAATTCTCAAGAGAGCTTGAATGGTTTAGAAAAAATGCAAAACAGTAAAAATTAAGTCTTAAAATAATAAAATGAATTTAAGAACAGTTACAAGGAGAATGAAACCCAGAATTAACTAGCTAAGATTCAGTAAAATTGAGCAAAACCAAGCTTTCCCACCTTAACCACTTCCTGTTGATAAGACATAATTAATGTGTTGTCTGAATTTCATCGGACCTGAGAAATTAAATTCGGAAGTTTGTTTACATTATGCTATCTGCCCAAAACGTGTGGTCACAGAAAAGAATAATTAAAATTACTCTAGACAATAATATATCAATATCAAATTTGCATCTATATAAGCGAGAACTCCTCAGACACACAGACATGGGCCCAATAAAGAAGATCAACCCTAGTGTGGCTGGAGAGAAAATAGAGACAGATGGACACAGACTCAGAAGTTGGCTCGGACTGCACCAGGATTGCTCATAAGACAGTTGTTTTTAAAGAACACACCTACATTTCTCATGGCCGAAGCAAAAACACAGACACATGCATGACATAAGAGTCAAGGAAGAGTTGACTGTCTGGTTATCAGTTTAGTGGTTGAGACTATATTTCCTAATTCACCATCCTGCAGCAGAGAACTTGATTTTGCAGTAGATAATGGAGACATTTTTATTCAACCAGTTTTTCTTTATATTCAATAAACCTATTGTTAGAGTTATCAACAGTGTTGTGCCTTTTATTGAAGGATTTCTTATTCTAGCCTGATTTCAGAGCTCTCCTCAGGTGCAAAAAAACAAAAGTTACCATGGCAGTAAATTTAGAATTATTTGTTCTTAACAATGTACAGTTTTTTTTTTTATTTTTAGAAGGTTCTTGGAGTAGATTTTCAATGAAACAATGGTATAGAAGTTCTATAAGACAATTCAGCCACTTAATTCAATCAACAAATATTTTGAAACAATTTTTTATAACTAATTACAGAGACTTATAAATGTACCTTATAATACAGCAATTTTTGTTTGCAGGAACTATTCAAAGAAAATTTACTGCATCAGAAATTATGATTCAACAATTTACTACAAAATGTAGCATAAAAGAAAAAGGGAGACTTTGGTGAAACGTAGGGACAGTGGGAAGGAGGTCACATGTTCAAAGTAGGAAAACATTGACTTCAAATCAATCTATAGTTCTATCAATCTGTTATTTCAAGATGGATTTATACAATTTCCATAAAAATTACTTTTTGCCAAAAGAGTGAATGAACTTACCACAAATTCGATCTTGGTATTTTTCAATAACACGTAATAATTCCATGCTGGACTTTTGGATTGCACGGAAAACCTAACAACAACAACAAAAAAAAGTTTTATAAATTATCCTATGTAGTAAAGTAAAAAGCATTAAAGTTATTTATAAAATTATATTTTAAAGATGTCTAGTGGGGAAGGTAATTCTGAGGAGAAAGATTGGGCAAAATCCATAGTAGAATAAAGTTTCCATCTTTAACTGATTTTTTGGTAACAAATGGGTGGTCATTGACATACAGTAAAATGACATTATTTCTATTTAATCAAACTGGGCCTTGTTTTGGTTAATTTTTGAATGTATTGCTTCAAACTGGCCAATATAGTAATGGTTATTATTATTATTTGGACATTTAGAAGAAATTTTTGATGTATCAAATCCCTTCTGTTCCACCAAACAGTCCCTATAAACTTAAAAAAAAATAAAAATAAAAAAATGATAGCAAAATTTTGGATATTTTAGCTCCTCATCTATATCCAAATATAGATCTACTTTGGCCATTTTACCAACTCCATTCTTCATCACAACTGATGAGACAATGAAAAAACAAATTAATTTAACATAAATAAAGCTGATTAATATAGAGCTTAAATAGAATTCATTAAGCTTTTATTTACTTAAATTATTTAAAATGAGGCATTGAAATTAGGTGTCAATTGCTAAAATCAAATTCTTACATCTTCCAAAACTTTATATAAAGTGTTTCATCATAAATACAGATAAATTCTGGTACACGTGATTTTAAATTCAGAATTGTGAATGGACCAAAATTAAAACAACTTCCCCCCCAAAAAAAACAAAACAAAAAAAATCATTTAACCCAACAGTTCACTGAACAAAATTTTGAAACATCTTTGACTAATTAGTTTGAAAAGAAAGTCATTACCATTCTATAAAAGTATATTCCTCAAATTAGATTAGAAAAAACAGAGTGCATTAAAATGCTTGATTAATAAGTTATTGCAGTGTTTTCTCATTTATTTTTGGATTTATGGTGTCAGTTTACTCTTACAAATAATATTTGTTTGAAATAAAACGGTGTTGTTTATAGTGTTGTGTTCATAATAAAAACTAGAACATTTTATTTCAACTGAATAGTCAGATTTTGTAACCTCTACAAATCTATCAAATTGATTGATGCAAATAAAACAATTACCCACCTCCAGTTTGGCATCCAATTCATGATCTGAGGCAACAACATGTTCATCTTCTTTTTTACCAAGTTTCTTAATGACCGCTTGCTTAGTTGTCCAATAAGTTTCTTTCATCTTATGTAATGTTGATTGGTCATTGTGCTCAATGTAGCGGTCAAGATGACTGCCATAGTAGCTAGTACTATAGAATAATACAGAATTAGATAAAGTTCAAACATAGAGCCAAAGTGGTTATACATGAAAGAGAGAGAGAGATGGAAACATTTACACTTGATTATAAGATGCCTAAAGAAAAAAAAAAATCAACAAAAAATAAAACAAAAACAAAATCAATATTTTTATGACTAAAATAGTAAATGCTAAAATTCATATTTTTAGTCAGTAAAATTACCTTCAAATTCAATTCTTGCTAATACACACACAAAAATGAAAAAGTGCTGAAAAATCATCAGTTGAATCTAATTCCCAAACATCAAAATTTTTTTTATCCCCTCTTGGTTAGGCCAACAATTTTTCAGTACTCCATCTTGTGTGTGTGTATATTATTAGGTGTGTGATAACAGTTATGTTTCAAATTATTCTAGGGGCTATTGAATGGAAATAATTGTGAATCCAAATGCAATTTTGTAGTGTTTGTTAACTTCTTTATTCATTATTGATTATTTGTATATTTTTCTTTGTTACCTGCCGATTTTACAGTGGCTTGCTATATTACATTGTTCTGCAAGAATTTGCTTTTTAAAGGACATTCGTTCTTTGCTCTGGGTTTGATTTGTGCTGGTAGTTTGTTGTGCTGTTTTATTGCTTGAGTCATGTTCTTGGTGTAACTGTAGCTGATTTTTGTTGAATATCTTCTGGAGAGTGAACATGGTAGGAGTGTCTTCGTGTAGGAGTTTCGTGAATAGTTTTCTAACATTTGTTTTTGTTGTTCCCATATGTTGACCCATATGATGTTTCTTTTCCTATTGGCTTTTTTGTGCTGTGTGGTACGTATCTTTTAGGACTGTTTCATAATCTTTCTTGGCTTCATTGAAGATGTTTTCACTGAAAGAATTGTCCGATAACCTGCAGTTAATTGATTGTGAGATCAGCTAGATTACTGATGGTGGGTGGGTGGTTGGAAGAAGAGTGTAAATAAAGGGGTTTATCATTAGGCTTTCTGTATGGTTGATATGTACCATTTCTTAGGTGGAATGTGACATCTAGAAAATCTACATCTTTTAGGTTAGTTATGTCTATGTTGAAAAAGTTTATGATTGTTTTTCTTGTTTTGTCTGTTACAGTTTCTTAAGATTATGAGGCAGTCATCCCTGTAGTGACCTATATCATTTTTATTGATTATTTTACTTAGTTCATGTAAGAAATGTATAACTATGATATCACAGGTCTAAATGTACTTTAACCCATAAATATGGCATTATATATATATATATATATATATATATATATATATATATGTATGTATATATATGTTATTAATTTTAAGAGATTATAGTAAAACATGTTGAAATCACTACAGAAATACTTTGATTTACTTACCATTGCCTGAAGAAGTACAAAGTATTGAAACATGAAAGCTTTTGTGTAGCAATTTCAACATGTTTTTATTATCATCTCTTATAATAAAAATAATAATATTTTGCTCTACTTTGTATTCAGCACCTTTTTAAAAAGTAAATGCTACGAACAGAGGAATTTTACTCCATTTGTTCTTTCTCTCATTTGGATATATATTACTATCAAATAAGAGTAAGGGAGTTCCACTGTCGAGAAGTGCAAGAAAAGAAACTGTTGGCATAGAAGTAGCGGTTATATTTAACTATTTTGACAATAAAATGGTGGGACCCAGATGCCAATTGGCATACTTAAATTCATGTAGTCAGGGCACCAGGGAAAAAAGTTTGTCAAAGCAGTTACCATGAAAATATTTGTAGAAAAGACAGAAGGAAGCCACATCATATCTGTGAGAAAGTGACTGAAATCAAGATGCCAAGTCAAGATGAATTACATTACAGATCCTTCTTTGGATTTTGTCAAGAGCCTCGAAATGACCAGCAGGTGCACCAGACCAGATATGGTAATAGTATTCAATGCACGAATGAATGGTAGATGTGTAGATATGTAAGATAGACTCTGATAAGTAAAAACCTTCTGGCACAACACAGTGAACCAACTTTCCTTGCAGTAGATGCAACTACTGATTCATTGTAGTTGTTCTACTTCAAGTCAGTCAAAAACATGAGGCCAAGAAGGTGCAGTGAGACATTCTCCTGTAGTTGAGCATCCACCATGCTAATGATGGGCAGGGAAGTTTCTCTGTGGTGGTTAAATGAGAGCAGTTTAATTTTGGAGAAATTAAAATTTACAAGCCATTTCCTGCCCCATTTAACCACTGATTGAAGGTCCTTTTCAAAAGCAGTGGCCAGGTTAACTTTGTCAGCACTGATGGATTTACTGTTGAAACAGGAGTAAATGATAGTGTCATCTGTATAGATGCCTACTTGGGAACTGATGACATCAGGAAGATCATTGATGAAGATTAGAAACAGTGTGGAACACCCATGTTCATATTAAAGGATCTGGAAGAGAGACTGTACAAAACGACCTTCATTTAACGATTTGGTAGGAATAATTGGATTAAATCAATTGTCCTGTAATACCATAGCCCTGAAGCTTACATAGAAGTTCAGCATGCTAAACCCTGTCAAAAGCCTTTGAGATATCTATAGGCACAGCTTGAGCTTCACAATTATTATCAAGCACTTGATAAACATATTCAGTTATGGCTATAAGCTCATCAGTGGTAGACTGGGCAAAATGGAATCCATATTGTTTGTCAGAGAGTAGATCATGGGAGGTAAGATGCTTAGCCACTTAGGCATTGATTAAAGCCTTGAAGATTTTGCTGAAAAGCACTAGAAGACTGATAGGGTGGTAGTTAGAGAGGTCAGAAGGTTCTCCAGAGTTCTTAAAAATGGGGACTAGAGAGGAGGACTTCCAACAAGCTAGGAAGCAGTGAAGCAATAGTTGTATAGTTTGGAGAGAACTGGAGCCAGCTCAAGAGCACATTTCTTTAGGATAATCGCTGGTATCCAGTCACATTCACTTGCCTTAAGTCTAATTTAAAAATTATATCTGAGATCAGTGATGGGTTTATGTACATATCACTCAGTAGAGCCTCAGTCCTAGTGGAGAAATCAGGTGTGGGTACTCCAGATGAGTGGAGTGTTGAGTTGGATGAAAATTTCCAAGCAAAGCATTCAGCCTTATCTGTTGTAGATGTTAGAACTTTAAATTGATTGAATAGAGGAGGGATTGAGGATTTGCTGTTGTTCAGCACACTCTTGCAAGGCCACCCATACTTTCTAAAAACAAACTTGCAAGATGCTATATGTTGTTTCATTCTATCAGTAAACAGTAACTTTGCTTCATTGAGGATACACTTGCACTTGTTACGAGCAGAGACAAAGAGATGTCTGTTGCAATCAGACATATCACACTGTACAGTTAGAAGCAGCAAATCCTGTGGGCTATATAGGCCAAGCAAGCAGGAGAGAACCAAGGAGATCCTGAAAGATTGTTAATGCTTTCATTCCAGCAAGAAAATACCAAGTTAAACCATGTTCAACTTGGTATTTCCTTGCTGGAATGAAAGCATTAATGCTGGCTTTCACCCATGTGGTGACCTCAGATGTGCATTTTTGAACAGGTTGATTAAAAACTACATTCCAAGGGATGTCATGAAGGAAATCACAGAATGAGTTGCAATCTGCTCGTTGATAACAGAAAGATATTGTTGGTAGGTGCTTCATGGCTGGTGGGGGAGTGGAAGGAAATGTTTACAGACACTACTGCATAATCAGAGTTGCCAAGAAGGCAGAGCTGTGTAGTGTGACCAGAGTCAGGGATAGAGGCAAAAAAGGGATCGAGAAGAGAAGTGTGTTCATCAGGTTTACTGGGAAAATGCATAGGAAAGCTAACCACTTGCATGAGAGATTGTGTGATTGAAAAGTTAAGGGTTTGGATGCCAATGACAAGGTCAGTGACAGAGTTTTTATGCCACCTGGTATAGTGAGCATTAAAGTCACTGAATATGAATATGTTTGCAAATGGAAGTAGGGAGATAGCCTTGTCTATATTATCAGAAATACTATCTAGCACACAATAGTCTTAAGAGGAAGGGGAACTGTAGAGAAAGAAGAGATTTGCTGACTGAATTAAGTAGAGAGAAATGGAGGCACATGTACAAATGGTCTGGAGATTCAAGGGAGAGTCACCCAGTCAGTGAGAGATGTTTGTAGACATAAACTCCCAGGCCATCCATGTAGACTTCAGAATCCTTTCTAAGGTAGCGAAGAATCAAGAAATCAGAGGAAGGGATTGAATAGTTAAGGTTAGTTTCACAAAGAGCTAGGATGTCTGGAGACTTTTTGAAGAGGAACGATTCCACACTGCAGAAGTTGGTACAAATACAATGAATGTTGGAGAAAGAAATGTTAAGGGTCTTAGGTGATTTTTGTTGAACTGGTTTAGGTTTATATCTTTGGTTGTTTATGGTCATAATATGTTATATTGGTAAAGAAAAGGCCTAGGGTAGTAGTACCTGTTGGTCATCAAATATAACATGTGCAGAATGGAACTGGCACAGACTGCAACATAGTGTGGCCCTAGGGTTGCCCATCAGAGGTGCTTGCAGAGATACCTGTCTATGTGCAACATGGCACTGCAAGAACACCAATATTATACAACTGTTGATCAGAGCAGCCTCTCAAGATGCTATATAAGAGTTTGGGCTCCTAACTACCAGTTAGGAATAGCAACCAGAAAATGCCAACTCAGTACCCTCTGTATGAAGAGACATTGCCACCAACCATGCACATCACAAGAAATTCATGACAGCACAACTATTAAAACCTGAAAAAAAGGAAAGGAGCCAGGAACCCCTTCCTAAACAGGAAACAATGGATGCACCTCTACCCCTGTTCAAAAGAAGGGAGAGGAGTATAGCCTATATATATATATATATATATATATATATATATATAAAAAGCAATTCCAGGTTTGACTTCCAGATAAGTTATTACAAAAAAAAAAACCAAAAAAACAAGTTTCTTTCAGAAAACTCATCTGAGAGCTGAGGTGAGACCCACAGATGACCCCAAATCAAATATGCATGCACATACTGGTGCATGGGTATGGTAACAATAAAAAATACTTAAGTTTTAACTTCGTATAAATTTGAATACTCACTCTTACAAAATGCATAAGCCTATCCCCAGCCAGTAATCAGAAAATGAAAAAAATTAACATTGTGTTAATATGATTAGCACAAATAAAACACTTTCTAGCCCAAATCAAAGATGTTGCAGACAATTAAAAAAAAAAAAAAAAAAGAATATTACCAGAAAAAAATGGATTCGTCCATTTCAGTTGGCAATATTTTTTTAGTCAGCGACTTTCTAACCAGGGTATGGCTTTTTTTAGATGGTTTACATAGAACATTTTCTTTAATGAAAATACTTTTTTAAATGTAAAAGTAAAATCTTTATAAGCCACTTTGCTTGTTTCTTGGCATTCTGTAAATCATACTTATTATAAAATCCAGGTTGTGTGTGTGTGTGTGTGTCTGTTCGTTTATATATTGGATCGGATTTCCTACCTTTTTCAACCAATTTCAACAAAACTTCACAGGACCATGTAAAATTACCTTGTGGTGGTTCTAACAGTGCCAAAAATTGGAAAAACACAATTGTTTTTGCACGAAATCAATTTGAAAACACGATTAAGAGTCATCACGAGAATGAAAGGGGGACAACTCATACCGAGTTATACTTATTATAAAACCCAGGTTGTTTGTGTGTGTGTGTGTGTGTGTGTGTGTGTGTGTGTGTTCGTTTATATATGGGATTGGATTTCCTACATTTTTCAACCGATTTCAACAAAACTTCACTTTTTTTTTGGCAGGTAGTGTTTCTTATTGTCTTGCACACTTTTTTCTTTATTTTTACATTCAGAATGCTTTAAAAATTCCATTTACAAGACAATTGTTTATAATAAAATTCTATTCAATCGGTAGACTCATAACGATTGTAAAAAAAAAAACTAATTAAGACATGCGTGTCCGTCAACCTTAAAGAATAATCTTTGTCAATTTTATTTTTCAGTCTTTATGATGGTCGATACTTGATCTATCTCGTACTGTTACATCCCTGGGCAACGCAGGGCTCTACTGCTAGTCATGAATAAATAAATTGAAAAACATTGTAGAAAAATACAATAAAATGAGTGCATGGTTGCTTTGCTTTCATTAATTTAAGAAGAAATGCTGGAAGCAATGCACAGCTGGCTTGATAGATTTATACAAGGTCAATGGTGAAAAATTAATTTCTACATGCATTACAGAAGTATCTAGAATATATGCCCATTGCTAAATGTATTGTACATGCAGGGTATAAAATTTTAATTTCTATGCAAACCATCTAAAAAAAAAAAAAAAAAGTTCAAAGGAAAGATTTAAAATAAGGAGTTTGACCTTTGGCAAATAAGGTTTGATAAGCTGCTATTATGTTATTGATATACAAAAGATGGATAGTGTATTTGGTTCATAAAATAAGATACATACCAGAATCTGAAGCAATGTGAATAAATAGATGAACACTCAATGTTATTTAAATAAAAGAATGTCAGTGTTAATTTTCACTTTATTTGTGCTTATCTACTGAAAAATTCATGTAAGACTTCAGCTGCTATTTTTTTTAACTGAAAGCCTGAAAAGAAAAATTATTTAAAATTGATAAAACTGAAGCCATTAAAAATACCCAGAACCATAAATTGTTTTCATGAAACTGTTTTAAATTCTGTTTTTAATTAGAAGATTTTCTACTTACGACATGATGACACCTTTTGGTTGTTTAGGCACTGCTGCTCTTCAACAAAGAAGCTAGAGGGAGGAGAAAGAAAAAGATCATCTGGTTAAAACTGTTCTTCATATAGGTTTCATCTGACTAGTTGACATAGCTTTTTTTAATAATAAAAATGGTGGTGATTGTGTTGCTGGTAAGGAATAATCTTAAGGTAAATGGTAGGTAAAACAGCAAGAATCCTCAAGATATTGGAAGGAGAGTAATAATCCTGCAGGTAACAGCAATTAAAAAATAAAAATCTAAATACTTTGATCATTGAATTAGTAATAATACAAACTGCTTGAATATACAAATTTTCATTAAGTCAATATGGTAAAATTTAATTTTGTAAGTATAAAATTTACAAAAATGAAAACGAATGATACTTATTTTTATTCAGTAAAATGTTTTGCTTCAGATTTTTTTATTTTAGTAAAATATGAAAGTACTTTTTACACATTATATTTTGAAAAGATCTCTTATGTTTGTGTGTGAAAGAAATATTTAAAAAGAAAAAGATTTTCAGAAAACTAACAAGATAGTTTTAATATTATCTTTTGGCTAAAATATTAAACAAATTAAAGAACAGTCACTATCAGTGAATAGAGAGTTAAATAGAAGAAACAGGTTGAGTATGAATGGATTGGCATTTATATCAATAATTTTATTTATTAAGAGAAACACTAAATTTCAAGTAAGAAACATCACGTGAATGAAACTGAAGTCTTTCATGGTCTATAAAAGTTGATTCATGGGATTCATGGTTTGCATTGATCCAATTTCCTAATGATATAATTTAAGAAAGATGGAAAAAAAATTTCCAGGCACATCATACTCATAAACTTCAAAAAATAGTTTGATGAAATTAATGCAGGTACCTAAAAAAAAAAACAAAAAAAAACACTATACTTAAGTTTATTTTAAAAAATGAAAAATGTTTATTAAATCTTTAATCTTAGTTTTGATTCCAAGCTAATAGATTAAATTAATATTCCCAACAAGCAAAATATTTTTGTGTATTTCAAAATGGATTTAAACTGATTGGAATCTTTTTTCTCCTTCAAACATATTGATAGAGCTGTCAACACATCATAATTCTCTTCATTAAAAAAATAAAATATAATATACATTTCTGAAATGTTATCTGAGAAATATCAGTGAATTTAAAATTTAATCCTAATTGAAACAAATATTACTTACTATTACTTTAAAATATTGCAGAAAAAAGCATCTATTTTAACATGGAGGGTTGTTCTTTGACATGCTGAGTAATTTAATGACAATCTGATGTTTGGGAAATTTAAGTAAGAGGAATATAACTGATATAAAATTACATGACAAATACAATGCGAACACTTTTATTTAAAATATAATTTTAACTACTCAGTAATCTTAAAAGATTTAAGTATTCTAATATTTTATTGAATTTTAGGTATTTTAGCTTTATAGCCTTACTTATGAAGACATTTATTAAAGAAAAGTTAGAAAATTACCAATAAATTTTAAATTTATTATAGTTACCTATCTTATTTTCTGTTAATGTTTTGTATGAACATCTGTTTTGGCAAAAATTGATATTTATACACATAAAAAAAAATTTAAAAAAATTTCAAAATCCTTTTTAAAATGCTGGGGTTCATTGAATTGTAGAATTTTTCTATTTATGACTAGTAAATACAATTTAATTTAATAAAAATATCACTTGACTGCTACAAATTAAAATTTTAAAAAATGAAAACAATTCTTGTAAAAATTTTTTCTTAAGACAATATTGCCCATAATATAGTGGTGGTCTGTTGGGTTCAACAATAACATCTATGTGTAGAAGTGAACTTGAAGGTGACTGGTGAAGGAGCCCAATGTGGAATGCCAAAGACATCAGCCATAGGGATAAGAAAACTGGCCTGGAGGTTTGGGTGCTTCTGCTAATGCCTTCCTCTTGTATTGATGCTGTCACATCGGTTTTCCTCAAATATTAGTTGCTTTGTGTGTCAGGACACAACATCCAGTTCGATCATGTGCACACTCTTCAAGCTGCTTGGGGGACTACTCCAGTGTGGGTGATGTTGTTGATGCAGTCTTTGAAATGTTTCAATGGCCTACCATGCTTTCTCTTAGAGAGCTTGCTATAGAGAAATTACTTTAGGATTCTGTCATTGTCCATCTAGACGACATGCCCTATCCTTCTAAATTGGGCTTTCAGGCTTCAACGTTAGTGGTTTCTGTGCAGTCCAGGGCCTCAAGGTTTATGATCCTAACCTACCATTTAATGCTCAGGATAGAACGTAAGCTTTCCATGTGAAAGTGCTCCAGCAGTTTAATGTGCCTTCTATACAGGGTCCAAGTTTCATATCCATAAAGAAGTTTTGGGGGGGATAACTTCCAAGTTACTTAAATTTCTCCAGTTTTCAGTTCTGTTCTCTCGATGGAGATAGATGGCTCCGTTGTGGGAGGGCTGGGCTGAAACAGCACTTCTGTTTTCCCAAGGCTGATGATAAGGCCAAACAGGTAGGCTGCTTCAGTAATCTTGTTGACAATGAGCTGGAAGGCAGATTCCATGCATGTCATGAGGGCACAGTCATTGGCAAAGAGGACCTTCAGGATCAATTTCTCGATCATCTTGGTTTTCACAGTGAGGCGATGGACGTCAAAGAGAGATCTGTTCAGTCTATACCTGATGTACACTCCATCCCCTAAGTCTCAGACAGCATGGAATAATATATCACAGTTTTCACCAATTATTTTGAAGACTATGCACTGGCCATACACCACAAAATTTTAAGGATATAAAATAAACTACAATTCGACATATTTTATGAATTTTCTACCATAAATGGAGAAACAGTATTCATATTTAAAATATCAATTCCCATTTATTTACTCAAAGTAAATAGCATGTTCAGAGAATTTTAGTAGTAGTAACTTTATTACAAATAAAGAAAATTTATACGAGACATACAAGGATTGCCATAAACAAAACCAATAAAATAACAACAGTTCTTTGGTGACAGATTTTATGTAGACTGAGTGAAAAACTGATATAACTGCTTTCAATTATATAGAATGATGATGATGTCACCATTAATAAATTTTTTTTCATGTGGAATTCACTAGATTTTTAAAGATTAGAATCAAACAGAAAAAATAACTACAGAACAAAAATACCAATAAATATAAAAATAAGTCAGTGTATATTAAGAGAATAAAATTCATGAAAGAATACAATGGAAAAAATGAACAAAACAAAACAGTCAATTTCAAAACATTTAAAAGAATTTTACATCATCGAATGTAAATGTAGATTAATTCCCAGAATTATACTGCAAAAATGGCTGGGTTCACAAACTAAACTTTGAAAGCTGATGACTTTTTCTTTATTCCCTACAATCTCAAAAGGCTATTGCTTTATAAGAGAAATCTTTAAACACCATTTCTACAATAAAGATATTTCTAAGAATTTATTTCAAAATAAATAGCTATGGGATGGCAAAGTACTTAAAAAGATTGACAATCTCACATCACAAAAAGAATAAAAGATTATTCTAAGAAGATCTAACCCAATACAATAAACAGAATGCAATCAAACTGGTTTACTGATCTTGATAAAGTTTGCTTGATCTACTTGTATACACCATGTAAATTTCAATTTATAATATCTTATTTTTATTAGAAATATTTCCATATATTAATTTGGTGGGAGAGGGACAGTTTTATTATGCAATTCAAGGGCTGTTCATCATATTGGAAATAAGCATAGTACAGTTACTGAATTTTTTAAAAATTTCATATACATAAAGATTGTCATCGATCATAAGAAAATATAATCTCAAAAGAGAAATAAGATATTGCCAAGTTATTGAGTGATGGAAACACAATGTTAGAAAAATTTCCACACAGATTATAAAACAATCAGAAAAGAAATTAAAATAATTGCCAAGAACAAGAAAAAATGGCTTTAAAAATGCTGATTAAGAAAGTGATTTGAGAAAAATTGAAAGGGTAATAAATAAGAAAAATGGACTGACCAACAGGAAAATATTTAAGAATTTAATACTGTGAATGTAAATGGAGAGAAAAGAGACAATGAACATTAGCTAAAGCTATGAAAGAAACCATACTACTTAAGTATATATCATAAAGTACTAAGCATATGTTAGTCCCAGGAGACTATAGAATCTACTCGGATGGCTGGCTAATTCCTGCTGAAGCATATCTGTGTTTCAACACCCACAGAGTTAACTTGTGGTTTATATAGTACAACTATGTTGGGTAGAACTTAATCACACATTCTGGGAGAGAGTATACAATCTGAGCATTGCTTGAACAAGACTAGTAAATACAAACACTTGATCTTGATGATTTGTTGACAATTTTTGACAGCTTCTAAACAGTTTTTCCTACCAATTTCACTTACAAGGCTCGAGTTATTCTGCAGTGTGGTTTTCTGACACTTTCCAATAGTGCTGCCCACTGTCATCATCTCCTCAAGCCAATATTATCATTAAGAAGTCATTTTGAAAAATCCACTACAGTGAGATTCAAACCCAGCTTTCATGTTTAGCAGTTTAGGACTAAAACTTTTTTTTCACAATCTCATGTTACTGTTATCATATTTTGATGAACTTTTACCTAAAAACAAAGAAATGAACCTTTATTTTAATATCTTTTTAGAAAATATCACCTCTAAATTAAAAAATCTATTTTTACATTTATTTTATTTGTAAATGTATATTTAATATAAATATTTCATAATGCAAACAACTAAATAGCTCACAAACATGACCAATTATTGCTTAAAATAAATCATGGTTGCACTTTGTTTTTGCAGGCAGCATACATTTTCTGCATCACTTTCAATGTAGGTTCTGTGCAATGATTACTTCTTGATATCTTGAGCACAAATGGTTCTTGCTTCCAGTCGTTCTTCAATGAGTTTAATGCTTTTTTTTATAAGGTTCCAGTATTTCTGACAAGTTCTTAATGTCATTTTCATTGTACATCTGATTATTAAATCAATACTCTGTCCAGTTGTATGAAATGAATCTGCATTCTTTCTCCAATGTCTTTCTTGTTGTAGGCATAAGAATGAATGCAAGCATAGCAAGAATGGCTCTTGAATTCTACCTTCAAATTGTTTCTTTAAAAAAATCTAAACACCTATGTTAAACAGTACAAAAACTTCACATCTCTCCATCCTGATTTATCAAAGATTACTTCTGTTCTATTAACAAACTGTGTCTTCAGTTCATCATAATTTTTAACCAGCTGAGATGCAAACAGATATTCAATAGGTGGAGTCTATCACAGTCAACATGGGTGACATATCTGCTTCTTATTACAATCCACCGAGATGTAAACGGTAGTGAAATCTTCAATTGGAAAACTAACAGTCATCAGTTAACAGAGAGTACTACTATATATGAGCAGCAATTTTAAGTTTATACAGATTCATTTTTTCATGATGATCGTTTTTTGAAATTGAAATAAATTAGGATCATTTTCATTGTTTTTTAAGTAAAAGTTCATTGATTTATGATACAGGAATTAGGTTTTAGAAAAAAACAAAACAAAGTGAAAACATTTATAAACCTAGTGAATATTCTATTTGGTGATGCACCCATACAGCACAAAGATGTGTAAATTGGATAAAGAAGTACACAAAATTGAATTCTCAACAGTAATTTTTATTTATGAATTTAGAGCTACATTGAATTAACCTGATGGCTGGGATAGAGGTTGGGTTCTTCATGAAAACCAACAAACACTACTTAGAAGACAAGAGTGGGGAAGTGGAATAATGTTTTAGACTAATATTCTAAGTATAAAACTAACAAGCAGTAGAATCCAGACTCAGTTGTTACTAACTGGCGATAATGAAAGAGGCTGCTTTTATACCTGTGTCAAGGGCAAACAACCAATCATATGTTTAGATTTAGGACCATAACTCATCTTGTTCAGTGGATACAGGATCATTGTCATAGTCTGGTATATCTCCATGACTGCTGAATACATAAGCAGATGGGAAAGATGCATCCTTAATGTAATTTGTGCCCAAGAACGAAAGAATCAAACTCATTCCTGGTTCTATTATCCTTACAGTGAACAGGGAAATAGTGTACCTTCACCCAGCCGTCTCTCTAAATTTGTCAATTTGTATACCGAGTCATCATTAATTTCTCTTCTCTGGTCTCTTTCATGAGCACTCCCCCACAAAAAATGTTGTCCTAATGCAACAACAGAACATAAAAAAGGCACCTCCCTCCCAGTTTCTTATGCTGACTGCTTACCTACAATTTTTAATACAAATATGTAATCTGACATTGTTCAGTTAACATTTTTCTATTCATTTCTTGAGGTAAGTAAAAAAGAATCTTTTTTATCTGTCTCTTTTCTTCTTCTTCAAGTACACTTACAAATGTATCCCCTTATTTGATGAGTACCTATTTATGTTATCTGTCAATTACTGTACTTCGACCAGTCCACTCATCAGACATTTTTCTTGTACAATCCTATATCTCCTGTATTAGAAAATTGCGATACTTCTCAGATGGAAAAAAAGTTTCTAGCTGAATGAAATGCATCGAGATTATCGGCCACAATTTTGCTAATAGATTTACCCTCCAACAAAGAAAGTTGATATGGCAGGTAAATTAAGATTTCTTTCAAAAAAAACAAAAAAAAACAGTCAGTTTGAACTATAATATAAAATACTTTTTAATACTCATAGCATACACTAAAACAACATCAAAATTACAATTTGTATCTTTTATAATTTTCCTCATCACTTCTCCAAGTATTGTTTCTTTCATTGAGTTCATTACTCCACAGGCTTTAGCCAGGTGCCACATCTAAGCTATCCTTAGAAAAATCACCATTACTCCACAGACTTTGAACTGCTTTAGTCCAAATGATTGTATTCAAATTTTGGGTCATAAAAAAGCTGATTATTGATATTTCCAAGTACCAATAAAAGTGCTTCAAAATATGTCATCACATGTCTGAAGAATGCAGTAATGTCTGTACTACTTAGTTTCACAGCCACACTGCACATTGTACCATGATCAATAAGATAGAGAACTTTGACTCCAAGGACCTCTTTGATATCCATAGCCACAGTTATGTTAAAGTATGTACCCAGGGAAAAACTGACCCCAGGTCTACGTTCAGCTAATCTCTATCTTATGCATATTTCACAGAAAGCTGGAATACTCTCCAATATTTCTTTGAATTCTTTTATATATGAATGCTTTTACATTTGAATAATGTCTATACAATTTAGTGTCAATTTTTACTCTCACTTGTGTACTTTTATTGGTAGTGTATTTCATAAAATGTATGTAACCTATTTTTTCATTCTTTGATGAAAGCCATGGACTCATAGACACATAGTAATACCCTGAATTTCTATATTAAAATTTCACTTTTTTATTAGCATGAATACAGTGTTTTTTTCAAAGTTCAGTTTTGTGTTTGCTCTCTTCATCAAGGCTTTATTAAGTAAAAAGTAGATATCCATCCCAACAGTAACAATATTTAATATCTTCAAAAATACATGGGAATATGAACTGAGATAGTGATGGTAAAATTTCTCTATTTTTAAATTAGTAATAATTTTTACCTTCCTGCATATTAATGTTTCCCCTATTGACTAATATTATC